ACACACACACACACACACACACACACACACACACACACACACTTGGCTGTCTGCTGGTATTTTATCGGCGGCTCTATCGGGGTAAACACTGTGCAATGTTTGTAGTGGAAAGCTTTAATCAAAGAGTAATTGTTTACATTTGAAGGTGGCTTGGCCTTTTGCCGTTGGGCATTCATGCATGAGGGGATAGATTTGAAATACTAGACCTAGGCCTGTCGCAATAATCAATAAATCGACTTATCGAGCAATATATGTACATGACCTCAATTTTTGGTGACGCAATATATCGCCCATTATATTTACTTAAAAATTAATGTCACCATGTTTTGTGCATTCCACTTGCGCCTGTGTTTTTTGCAGCTTCTCGTACATAACGTGGTGTAGTCATGAGGTGCTAGTTCAAATTTAAAAATGCTTCTACAAAAAAAAGTTTAATCTGCAGATATGGTTTTGTTTAGGGATCTGTGTCTTTGTGCATACGGACATCTGACTGATAAGTAGTGATTGTGTTTTTCAGCAATCGTATGCACCCTTAATTTACAGAGAAAAGCAGGTCCGGGAAAAATTCTGTAGATGGAAAAATCTGCATACAATTTCTTTGTGCATTTTTCTTTTTTTCTACTTGTTACTTTGCACTTTTTGTTAGAAAATGTTTATTTACTATTTATTCAGTTTTTTTAAGGAATCTAATATTTTGATACTTAATTTCCATGATCTAAATATTCTTAAAAATTAAAAGTTTGATGTCATTTGGAAGTGTGTAAGCCTTCTTGCATTATTATGCTGTTACGTTATGATTATATATTCAGTGGCATAAAATGGTCTTTAAAATGACAGTAATATCGCTTATCGCAATTATTTCTGGGGCAATATATCGCACAACAAAAAGTTATCGTGACAGGCCTTAAACATTTTTTTAATCCTGTCATTATACTGACCCTTATGTTCTTCTGTAAGGGTGTGTGAATGATGACAGAGTTTTCAGTTTTCTTTCAGGCAAAACCCCTAAGCATTAGACCATTTGTGCTCTGAATGAATGGAGGGATGTGCTTTTACTGTTCTATGAGAGATGAGTGGCAGGCTTGCATTTTGCATTTTGTAGGATTGACCATGGAGAAGAGTGGTGAGAGTGTTAAACAGTGGTGAAATGCCAGGCAACAGCTAGTTTCTTTAAGGTGAAGGTAAAGCTTTCATTGTTGCTGATAATGCTGATAAGTTTTTAGAGGATTTAGTGCTTAAATCACTTTACATACTTCATATTTTAAATGCAGTTTGCACACTTTCGTTGTGGCTGGGTGACACTGTATGTATTATATCGGCATTCAGAAATTAATTTAGCACATTCATTAATTATTCATTTACAAAAAGTTTGAGGTCAGTTATTCACTGTTCAAAGGTTTGGGGTCAGAAAGATTTTAAGAAATTAATACTTCTGTTCTGCAAGGGTGCATTATATTGACCTAAATTGACCGTGTATATATACAGTAAATATTTGAACTTTGAAAGTAAATCGTTTTGAGCTTCATATTCATCAAAGAATCTGAAAAAAACTCTTTTCAGGTTTTTTTCAACTTTGCCGTCAAAGGAATAAATTACAATTTAGTATGTAATTTTAAATAGTAAACATTTATTTTAAATTGTAATAATATTTTACAATATTACTGTTTTACTGTATTTTTATCAAATAATTGCAGCCTCCAGCCTTGGAGCATGAGGAACTTCCTTCAAAAACTTACTGATATTTTAAAATGTGTTAATATAGAAAACAGTTATTTTAAATTGTAGTAATATTTCACAATATTACTGTTTTTACTGAATTTTTATATTAGAATTGTAGCCTCCAGCCTTGGAGCGTAAGGAACGTCTTTCTTGCTGATCCCAAACATTTAAATGATGACTGACTCTGTCATTTGCCATTTTTACAGAGATACCCCAAATGCAGCAGACCGCTAATGTTTTGGCAAGGATTGAGCAGACTTCGCCTGGTGGACAATAAAACAGGCGAGAAAGGATCATAGACTTACATTACTCTGTACATGATAAGCATAGATGACATTTTCTTCAAAAAAAAAAAGAAAAGAAAAGAAAGGAGTATGTTTTCACTATAAATTCTTGTTTTAGAAGCACTGTATGTGAAAACTCTTTGCAGAGTTTTTTTTTGTTATTTATGGCAGCTGCCAACACCGCAAGCCAAATTTAACATGATTAATGAATTTGCACGGTCACACCAACATTGTACTCTCATTATGCTCATTACACTAATCATTACAAAAACACGGGATGTCCCACTTTCCAGAACTTCCCAAGCAAAAGCCCTAAAGTTGACTCATTTTATTTTAATACCATGTATTTTAGTCTCTTATACATTATTCAGAGATATAGAGAGCCACTTTGTGAAGCATTATGAATAATCAATAAGCAATCCTCAGTAATACATCTTATAAAGAGATAATTTCTCCCTTGACTGTAGAGCAGATTATAGTCATACAGACGGTAAAGTGCGATTTCATACGGACCTCCCGGTGAGGTCAACGGTGTCTTGGGCCTAAACGTTATTGACTGAGTGCTTCAGCATCTGCTTGTGTCCTTGTGTGGTGCTGACTCCTTTTGACCTCTACACACACACATCTTAAGTTGAGAGTTGTAAGCTTTGTGTTTTACCCTGATGGGACTCCAGGGCCCTCGTCTATCACACTGTTACACTCAGAACATCCATAATTTACAGCTGAAGATTCAAAGGGGAAGCGTGTTTACAGTGGAGGCTTGTGTTGGTGGACTTTTCAGCATCTGCATTGGTGTGCGAGAGCATGTTTGTGCACTTCTGTGCACTAGCAATCCCTGTTTCGAAACAAAGAATGTGTTGGACCTGATTATCTCTGCTGCTCACAAGTGCTGAAGATGTAGTTTTTGCTGAGTTAGCGTACAGGTGAATGAACTTTCTCTTTCCACATCTAGTTTTTTCCTGTTTCACAAGGGAGTGTCTAACAAGGGTAGTCAGTGTGGATCAAGAATGTAAAGTGAATAATTTACTTGGACGTTCTTATTATTTATTTAGTCTTTTCTGTGTGCTGGACAGATTATGTGGTTTAAGGGTCCTTTGAGGGGGTATTTACACTTGGTCATTTTTCATAGTTACAGGATCATGAAAAGACCCAAGTATAAATGTATCTGGTTGTTCAGGGCAGGCCACACGTATAACGTTTAATCTTCCTCAAATAAACTACGACAGCATAAGGAAGTGCAGGAGCCTCGCAATCATTGATATGAAACCTAGTAAGAGTGGCCACAAATCTCAAACACTAAGGTGGAAAATTTCACTGGCTGGCATTAGCATCAAAGTGAACTTTGTTTGCATTGCATGGGAGTACTAGATCAGATTTATATCCGATATGTGGAGATGCATTTATGTTGCCAAGTATAAATGGATTGTGCGTATCCAATCAGACAGCAATACGATCGATCCAAATGCATGAAGTGACTAAGTGTAAATGGGTTAGTAAATGTGTATAAATGTTTGTTCTGTGGTTGTTTTAGGTGAGTGGAGGGCTGTGGAAGGAGAAGAGGAGGAAGAAGAGGATTGTGGGCCATCTTGGGACAACGAAACTGAAGATTTTTGGGTATTTACTGCACGTCATACAGAAGACAAATGTGCTGCTAGCTACATTAGTCAGCATGAAACCAAAATTCCCAATTCTTATTTTTATGGAATATTGCAATGTTTATTATAATTTATCATTATATTATTCATATCTTCTCTTCCTTGTTGATGTGCACGTTGGCACGAGGGTTGGGCCATAAACCTGTCCATCACATGAGATTGCACCAATTAGCAAACAACAACAATCCAATGATTTAATCAACTCCTGATGGACAAAATCAAGTGCCGCCCTATTTTTTTTTCCTTGCTCATGAAGCTGTTTCACTTGTGTAGGCATCACAATAAATAAATATATTGCAATTTCCGTTTCATACTGAATGCGGTCATATTTAAAAATGTTCACGTGTAAAATCCAGTCATTTCATAAGCAATCTGGAATTTCACATGAATTCCACACAAGGGAAAAAAATGTCCTTGCAGATTTCATCACAGGTTCAAGTTGGTCACAGATTCCTCGTGAATTTTTTCACTAAAGTGACCTTTTAAACTTGAATGTGAGCCTTTATCGTCCATAGTACTTGGAAAAACTCACTCGGTCAAAATTAAGCCATTGCAGTTGTTGGTCTTTGGCTTCCAGCTTGGTTTTATATCCCATTGTATAAAACGATCACTTGACCTGGTTTCCTAGAGCATTCTTATTCTCTCGTGGCACAGTGACACACTTGATCTTTATTTAAACTGATATGGTTGAGGTCAGATTTGCTAGCACTGCTGTTACCACAGTCCTACACTGCAGCCCACTGCAATAATGCTAAGCTATTATTGATAAGTCATGGTTCTTCATTACCAGTTCTTATAAAGTCTCAATGGGGAGCTGTTCTAGTCATTACTTAGCATAGTCTTTGTGCATCATTGATGCTTGTCAGTCACTTTAGGGGCAACCGCTAGCTAGAGCACAGCAACGTAGTGGAATGTTTTGCATTTAGGTATAGTCATGTATTTTGAGTGCTGTACATTGTACAGTACATAGTCAACAATATTAAGTGCTGGATCCAGCTGTATATTTCCTGTGTTTACAGCCAACAAGAGGCCAAGGCCTTGACAAATCCCCATTGAAGCGTCTCAGGAGATCCGAGAACTCCCTTTGCTACCTTGTTATAAAATAGACAGCTGTTTCTGTCAAATTTTTTCAAAAATTTGAAACTTTTCAACATATTTTTAAAAAATGCACATGATATTTAATTAGAATTCAGAACTCATGCTTTCTTTCAAAGCTTTCCGTCTTTTGTACCTCATCAGGAATTGTGGCAGCTGTAAAACAGACCTCTCCATCAAACCTTGTGCTTATGTAGTTATACCACTTTCTCAGGCAAAGCTGTTGGGTTATGGGATTTTGAATGTTCTTTTTGTTATGATTAATTGAATCTGGCTTTAGTGTATTCTTGTATGTCGAGTAGTTCTGACCTGATTAGTTCCGTTGGAACGACGTAGCTCTTTATTTAGTGAAAGTTTAGGTATGATAAATGCCCTCAATCAATAAATAACTCTCCAGACCCCAGTGTGCGGTTTTGACTCGCCTCATAAATACTTCCTCTAATGAGAGAAGGAGAGAAATTTCTCATTAACAGACTGCTTAATTTAACAGCTTTACCATTGGTTACCGTGATAATTACAGCTTCTCTTTGATCTCGCCAGACAATGTTTCCCAGATTCTCCAACTCATCAGAGAAACAGCTGCTATATCAGAGAGACCCTCTCTATGGCAGGGAAATGAGAGACAGCTCCTCAATCACATGACACGCGCTCATGTGCGGTTTTGACTCGCCTCATAAATACTTCCTCTAATGAGAGAAGGAGAGAAATTTCTCATTAACAGACTGCTTAATTTAACAGCTTTACCATTGGTTACCGTGATAATTACAGCTTCTCTTTGATCTCACCAGACAATGTTTCCCAGATTCTCCAACTCATCAGAGAAACAGCTGCTATATCAGAGAGACCCTCTCTATGGCAGGGAAATGAGAGACAGCTCCTCAATCACATGACACGCGCTCTGAAGTCTGGATTTACAACTGGTGCCTTTGTTGAACACAATGTGGGTGATTCCTGGGAGATTTCAGAGGGACCGGGGGTAAAACAGCATGCCGAAGCTTAAAGGGATCGTTCACCCAAAAATGGAAATTCTGTCATAATTTACTCACCAGATTGTTCATGCTACTCTTTTACAATGTAAGTGAATGTTGACAAAGGGCTGTCAAGCTCAAGAAATTACAAAGCCTTTTCATAAAGGTAGCTCTTATATGGCTTGTGTACTATATTCCACTTCTGAGTTTTAGTCTGTTCCTCACGCAAAGCTATTGTATGAGTCACTTTTTTTTATTGGTACTCTGCCAGCCCCTTATCATATATTTGGAATGCGAACATCCTGCCTAACATCTCCTTTTGTTTTCCACAGAAGTCATACGGGATTGGAATGATGAGTAAAAGGTGACTGAATTTTAATTTTTTGCTAATCCATCCCTTTAACCCCAAAAGCAGAAAGTGAAAATACACTTGTGTCTGTTGATTTAAATGCAATGTTGGTCACTGATCGCACAATGAACCATGTTTATGTGCAGACGGGCTTTCTTCTTGGCTCTACCCTATCTAGACAACCATTCCTCTTATTACTTCTTTAAAGCTACTCAAGTTCACTCTTAAATCCCTTGGGTCTCCAAACCTGAACAAGTACTGAGGCAGGAGTATCAGCATAAGCTTTGATGCTCAGTTTCATATTCTCTAACATTAAAAATGTGCATATTATAACAGGCTTCTTTTCCCTGGCCTCTCGGTTCTGATCATATACACAGATTTGAAGACCGAGATCTTTAACCACACCTTCCATCATTCAGGAATACTTGATGCAGGTCTTTGTCTTTCTGCCTGTGTTCCTGTAAAGTTGGCCTTCCTTGCTTTGTTTTCCTCTCTTTTGTTCTTTGTTAGTACCGTTTTAGCTGTTTTGCTTAAGCCACAGGTCTCAGGAATACTTGATGCAGGTCTTTGTCTTTCTGCCTGTGTTCCTGTAAAGTTGGCCTTCCTTGCTTTTTTCCCCTCTCTTTTGTTCTTTGTTAGTACCGTTTTAGCTGTTTTGCTTAAGCCACAGGTACTGAGTGAGATACGGCCCGTTCACACCAAGCATGATAACTGTATCTGAAAATGTAATAATCCAGTCTATCAGAATCAAGTCGACTTTAAAGAGCTTGAGCATGTAAAGCGGAAGATGTGTGCTTAAAATAAAATAAAGTTGTAGTTGTCCTTCTTGATTTTCCATACAGCTGTCTATACAGCCAATATAGTTCATTGTTGGTCTCTATTGACTTTCACTGTACAAAAAAGAAAAAATAAATGTTCAATATTTTAACATTTAAAAAAAAAATCATTCTTCAAAATATCTTTACATTTATATATATATATATAAAAGTGTATATATAAAAATTATATCAAAAATAAATATACAATTTATTTATTTGTATTATTTATTTATTAATATTAAAAAAACATCATGCAGATTTGGAATGATATGACGGTGAGTAAATGATGAAAGAATTTCAACAGAAACTATCCTTTGATATCAGAAATTATTTTTTGAGGACAAAAAAAAACTATTTGCATGGTTTAGTTTGGTAACTGCTCTAACAGATTCTGTGAGTTCATTTAATAAAGGATCTGTTGACTAATTCAATGAATGAGTGAACATGACTGAGTGAAATTGTGAGTTTGAGATAGATTGTGGTATTTATTAAGAGGAGTAAAAATAAACATAACACAATAGAAAGCATTAAAAGTAGCATTAGCAAGCATTAATAGAATCACACCACGCAACCCTAGTACTAAGAGGCAAAGAGAAGGAAGTGGAGAGAAATTTGGAAATGAGGGCATAGTGATGAAATGAGGGAAGCATGGTGTTATGGGAGTTGGTTGAAGATGGAGTCTGAGGGTTTAGGCAGTCTTCTCTACTGTGTGACCTACTTAATAAATACAAATGTCACACCAAACAGCAAAAGGTCATTTAAAGGTTCTATAAGGTGACTCACATAGACTTAGCCTCTGGCCACAGGTTCTCACACTTTCATTACGGTTTCTTGGCCTCCCCCTGATCACTTAATCTGGGTGAATGCTATTATCAAAGACCAATCCTCCCAAATGCCTGTGCCTTCTCACTTCTATATTCTAGAAGCTACAATTACCCAACTAAATGCATAATTGTAGCACTTGCCCTCCTCCTACTGTGGACGTTCATGCAACATCAACCCAAGTCATTTTGACTGTCGCAGTCACTTCCATTTCCAGCACTTCACCGTAGAGGTGACACACACTGAGTTGCCCTTGGCGACTGCATTCCGTGGGTCAAAGTTCAATACCTTGATTTACAGCATCCTGTCTGGTCGGCTCTGTGGAAATGAGGCTCCTCACCACAGTGTCTTCAAGAAAAAAAGTCACTGCCAAGAGAAATTATGGCACACCGTTATCTTTTGACTCCTGCAACATTTCCATGAAATTTTCAACCATCCTTTTCTCAAGCATACAGATGTGTTTACTACTAATATTATTTTATGGCCTGATAAGTATGACATGGAAAATTAGGTTTTTTAAATTTAATTATAATACTATAATTTAGTGTAACAGTGTTTTCCATACAATTTACAAGCTCCAAAAATTAGTTTATAAAGTGGTTTAATTTGCAGTTTGACACTCAGGGTTTGAAATCAGTTCAGTCGAACATCACTGGATCTCAAGTCTCAAGATCAGGGCTCAATGAATGAAAACGAAAACTGGAAACGAACGAAATTAACCAGAAACAGAAATGAAATCAAACTTAATAGTTCCGAACAGAATCAAAATTTGAAAATTGCCATTAACTGGTTAATAACATTATTTTACCGTTCCATTTAATATTTGGATTTTGCAGTCAACCAATCACGAATTTAAATAGAACGGCCTATGCAAAATATTTGGATGTGCAAAAATCTACTACATTTTTCACTGAAGAACATAAATTTAATTCTGCTCCTAACATAAAAATATTATTAAAGTTACAGAAAGTTTGGAACATACTTCATAAATCAAATAGACTATGTGGTACTTTTGTTGTTTTTTTCTTTTGTCCTTTCATTCCCGTTCACTTTCATTGTTTAAAAAAGAGCAGCAGGGATATTCTGCAAAATATCTTTCAGCAGCATTTATGGGAGAGATTCCTTTATGTATTCACTATTCAGTGATTTACACTGAAATGATTTAGCTAGTGGGAATATTTTAGTTCTGTATGCTCTCGTCTTTCTGATGCAGGATGCTTTTCTTATTGATTAGTCCACATCTGCGTGTACAGGCAAGCCTGTAGTTTTGAAATTGGAATAGATTTTTTCCCTTCCACATTTATTGGCTCAGGTGACAGCTAATTACTCAAGAGTGTGTTTGTGCGTGTGTTATGCAGAGTTGATATTATTTCATGTGGTTCTTTTGTTATGGTGCTCTGCTTGACTGACATGTTTTAACATCTGTTGTATTGTTCCTGCAGAGTGCAGTCTTTTTGCAGATGCATGTACGTAGCGTGTTATGATGTACCTGGCATGTTTGTGTTTTCATTTCCTCTGGTTAATATTTTGTTGCTTTGGCTGTCACAAGATAAGATACTGCAGGTGTGTGTGTAAGTGTGCAAAACTGTGTGTCCGTAAGTCTGCTGTGGAGAGGCATAGTCTCTTCTAAACAAGGAACTTTAAAAAAAAATCAGAGATAGGCAAACAGTGCTGTTTTCTCTGAAAATGTCTCCTCTTCTGAGAGAGACAACTGACCTTTCACTCAAACACACACCCTTGTACACATCAACTACGTTATAAGATGTTTTTTCTTCTTCATGTGAGGCATCCAGATCTGACTCGAACAGCTGATGTATAGAACAAAGTCCCCACCCTACATTTTTTTTCTTTTTTGATATTCTGTTTTACTCTTATGTACATCACAATTAGTGTTGGGAAGGTTACTTTGGAAATGTAATAGGTTACAGATTACAAGTTACCCTATTTAAAATGTAATAAGTAATGCAACTGATTCCAATTGATTACTTTTTGATTACTTTTCTAAATTTCTAATGAATGTTTGCAACTGTTATTCATTTTCAAACATTTAAAGCTGACAGGGTTAACCTTACAATAGTACTGAACACTGATTACTGTCAGATTTTCAAAATACTTCATCACTTGAATTAAGATTATAACAATTTAATTTTTAACAATTTAAAAGCACAGCCACCATAAAATCAGACTTTTTAGCAACTCTTTTCACTTTAAGAGCATTCTGAGGTTAAATACTCAGAATTTCAGAATGATCAGAACTAAATTTAGATTTAACATCATAACAAGAAATAGTTTAATAGCTATGATGCTATTCTTGAAATCAAATCTTTGCACAGCTATGACAGGAAACACTGGCATCTAACAATGCCTTGGGGGAAACAATTAATCTTGAGAAATAAGGCATATACATAAACACAGATAGTAAATAAAACAGTTATTGAATAAGCATGTGTCCTATTCTGTCTTAAACTCCTGAAACATTGATGTCTCATATTTTAGAGCAGTCAATGAAGTTTGTGAAAGAAAGCAATTAAATGTGTGTGTGTGTGTGTGTGATTATAAAAATATTCAGATGTAACCACCTTTGTAATCGTTAACATTTTCACAAGTAACTGTAATTTAATTACCAATTTTTTCTCAGTAAGCAATTATAGCCTACATTTAAACTTGTATAAAGTAAATTTTTTAAGTGTCCAATACTTTTTAAGAAGGAATGCTTAAAAAAAATCAGTCTCAGTAAACTTGTGAAACAACACTCTTTAAATTGTCATATCAAACAGATCTGTGGGCTTTCTTTTAAAATTCTTGTTGACTTCTCTGAAGGAACTTGTGCAGTTTAAACATATAGATTGCATCATATTAGATGCATATATCAAACCTAGTGACATTTGCTATTTGACTTTTAACCAGCTGGTATCAAGTTAAAAAAAATGTTTGTCTAAGTGTCCAGTACTTTTTGGGGCCACTGCACACTACCAGTCAAAAATTCTAAAGTGGACAGTTTTGTAGCCAAATATAAATTGTGCACACATATAACTATTTTACCAAAACTACATAATTCTTATATTTCTATTTCACAGTTTTAAAGACTTTGACTTTTCTAACACTTAAAGTTGTCATATCAAACAGATCAGTGGACTTTCTCTTTTGAGACAAAATCATTGACTTTTCTGAAGGAACTTGGCTGAGAATGTTTTGCATGTGCAGTTTATTGTCTCTTCATCTTTTCCCATTTTTGTTTATTTTCACACGTGTTAACGACTTCACAGCTTGCCCAGAATAACAGGGGAATTAGCCAACACAGGCTTGATTAAACAAGCGAAAATATGGTACAACAGACCGCTGTTGTGTTTAGAGATTGGGAAGTTTGTAGAGGCATAGAGATATGACAGATGTGCTGTGTATGTAAGTGTGTGTGTATCTGTGGCAGTCGGAGCTCATGGCCGCTGGATATGGACGTTCTAGCCAGAGTGGCCGTGTGTGTCCACCTCTCTTATCTCCTGCAGATCCCTTCCTTTCATCTCCTTTCAGACCTACAGGGTACTGGACAAACCCCTCCCTAAAATATAGTCCCCCGCAACACACGCCCACACTCCAAGGCTGCTATCTCACTGCTACAGATGAGGACCTTCATGTACAGGCCAAATGACATCCCCCCCCCCCCCTGTCCTCGTCCCACTACCACACACACACACATTAGGGTTGGTTCCCATCTCACCTGGCTCAGTGTCCCCTCCTCCTCGGTTAACAGTCTTTCACTCCCTTTCTATCCTTTCCCTCCTGTTGTTTTTCTGCCTTTGCCTTGACTCTAATCTGCGCCTGTGTGACATCTGGAATGTCCTCTGGTTTTAATCGAGATAGTGAGAGGGAGAGAGGGGGGAGAAGACATCGTTTGAAAAGCTCCAGACACCTTTAAACACTGTAATTTAAAGCATCTATTGTGTTAATTACACAGCAGAGGTTCAGTTCTGTTCTCTGTTTTTGTTGTTTGTTCAGGATCTTCAGTGACAGTGTGGCAGACATGAAAACCCAAGAGCATCGTTCCAGCCCTCTGAAATCACACACACAAAGTGAGTATAGAGATAACATGAAGCTCATCTTTTAAGGTCAACTAATAATAATCACTGTTGTAGTCACAAAGATTTTGTGCGCTTTAGAATCAGAATCAGAATCAGAATGAGTTTTGTTGCCATGTATGTTTACACATACAAGGAATTTGTTTTAGTGACAGAAGCTCCACAGTGCAACAGAATGACAGTGACAAGACAGGACACAGATAATAAAAAGAATAATATAAAAATAGACAAAATAGACAATGTACAAAAAAGCAAAAACAATATATAATATAGACAATTTTGTATGTACAGGTATATGTGCAAATTTGTAAATAAGTATGTGTGTTAAATAAATAATGTCGATTAGATAAATCAAGAGTACTTTTTTTATATGTTCATCACACAGACATTTTTAATGTTTAATAAGGGGTAAAAACACATTCTGTTCCATTCATCTCATATCTATTAAGTGGAAAAATGTGTTCTATGTGAATGTCCCATAATCTTGACACTTAATTGCCACTAATTGTTGTCTGATGAATCAAAAATGACAATGTAACCAGTCACAAAATAAAAAATGTGGGCCATTTTTGATATGTTTGTGTGTAACCGTTACAGAATTTAGATCACTGTGAAATGTTAATGTGTTTTAAAGTCCCTTCCAAGTACTTAGGTACCTGTGTCCATCCCTATAATCACTTAGAATTAAACTACAAAATTAGATAACAATTTTGTAATGTTGGGCTATCAGGTAAGTCCCAATGACCTATTGAACAACATCTGGCCTGCATTTCTTTACGCATGAGTGAGGAGTAAACACACACGTATGAACACTAAATTCATTCCCACAAACACATTCTGATACTCACTACAAAAAACAGACCTACATACGATATACATGGTGGCCAGAGCGTAACCCTTCTACTAACATAAACACCAGATCTCACCTTTGAACTCCTCACCTTTCATTCTGCTAATTGGTCTGTGATGCTCTTATTTTTCTTCATGGGACTGTGGCTAAAAATAAGTTCCCATTTCTAGCACCTAAAATAGAGTACTCTCCTCCCCTTCAACTGTTCTCATCTTCCCCTTTTAGGTCCAGTAAAAGCCCAGCTCTTTATGATGTTTCTGTTTTTAACCTAATTAATTCTATAGCGGCCTAAATGCGATTAGGAATTACCCTGTTTTATGCTTACAGACTTCTAAAAACTGAGTGCTGAAACATCATTTAAATTTTTTCCATCTTCATCAGCAATCGTTAGAGCTACACTTTACTCTCTTTTTTTTCCTGACTGCTTAGTTTAGTTGTACTTGCTACTAAATACTTATTTCTAATTAATCAAACATTGTTCCAAAGCATCTCTTTTGTCAAAAAGTTATAGAGAACTATGTAGTTTGTTACATAGTTTGCTTAACTGGTAAAGCTTGGCACTAGCAATGAAAAGGTCATTTGTTTGATTCCAAAAGAAAATGCAAACTAATAAATGCATATCTTGAATGCCCTGTAAGCCACTATGGATGAATGTGTCTGCCGAATGAATAAATGTGAATCTACTTTTTTATCACTGCTGAGTTTTTTTTCATATTTGTTATTTTTCACGTCAACAATTGTTAGGCAGAAGGCCACAAGGTTGTGTGGACAGTCATGACTTGTTTTGAGTATGGTTGTTTAACTGTTATTCTTGTTCACGTAATAATAGTCTCGCGTAGCCAGACCTTCAGACTGACGGCTGAAGGTCTGGTTTGAAACTCCAGCGTTTAGTTGATCATGATAAGCGCTCGTCGTCACAGTTGTAAACACTACGGCTTTTTTCTTTCGTGAGGGGGTTTGGCGTCACAGCATCTTTGTTTCCAGGCGGAACGTTAAAGAACGCAACACGCACGTCTCCCGGAAATCCTGTAGAATTCAACCAATCCGATGATGACTTCGACACTCCTGAAGTGTATCCACTTTTGTGTCCCATATGCATCAGACGTTTAGCCAACGGTCCGTGGGCATGACGTCTGAGGCTGAGACTAACGTAATAATGATTCTACTGCTGGGCAGCTGTTGTGCTTTAAAGGCGGTTTATACCTTCTGCAAGTGTGTGCGTGTCAGTGTGCATTAGGAAGCATGAGGAGGTATAGGACTTAGTAAGCTGCAGCATGAACAAGAGCAAGTATGCCGAGCTTGAATCAAAGAGGGCTCAAACTCTTTGCCTGAGGGTAAATTGATGTGTGTGTGTGAGAGAGAGAGAGAATGAAAAAGGAGTTAGACCCTCTCTTTCTTTCAGTTCACTTTTGTTACATCTTATTTCTTAAATGACAAAGTTGAAGGCATTATCTTGTTTTGACAGGTGATGCACGGCCCCACTCCCAAATGAAGGGTCTCCAGTTTCGCAGCATTGCCCCCAAAGCCCCAGTAGTGGTTCCATCCTCTGCAGTTCTATCCTGCCAACCTCCCTCAGCCCTTCCAGAAGCATCCACAGCTGTCAGCCCCAAATCCATCCTTGTCCCTGCCCAGAACTATGCACTCATGCAGGTGGCTGGACAAGAGGGGACCTTCTCATTGGTGGCCTTACCTCAGACACAACAGCAACAGCCAATCCAGAAGAACCTTAAGCTGCCTATTCCTAGATACCAACCGGTGCGAAGCAAGAGCGCTCCAGAAAAAGGCAGTAGCAAGATGCCGAGTCCAGCCAAGGTTTCTGCAACCATACAAGCTCAATCACCTGCTGTGAAATCAGACCAGAGTTCAGACCCAGTATCGGAGCATCTTGTTTTAATTGATGCTCCTACTTTGTCTGAAATCAACGTTGGGCCCTTGCTCCCAGGATCACAGACAGATCGAAAAGTGGAACAAAAAAGCGATGCTGGTCCACTCAAAAACCAGCACTATCCTTCTGGAACCTCCCTTATTGCCCCTGTCATTAAAATCTCACCAGTTAAAACCCAAATAGAGGGTCAAGCCTCGGCTGGCAGTGCCATCACAGTCCTCTCACCCACTATCTTTAGCAAAGCTGTTCAGATCATTCCATCTCCATCCAAGGGCAAGCTGCCCATCCTGCCCTATGCCAAGGTGAAGAACTCCCTCCTGGCACCCACCAGCCTTGCCAGCACCCCATTCTCAGAGAAGCAGACTGGAGCCAAAAGCAGCCTGAAAAGCCCTCCAGACAACAAAATCAAGTCCACAGACAGCAACGTTAAAAGTGAAAGCCTAAGCCAAGACCACAACAACACCCAAATCAAGAACCCTCCAGGCAAGAAACGGGGGAGGAAGAGAAAAACAATGGAGGATATTCTAGCCTTCGAAGCCCGAAAGAAGAGATCCTTGTCATTTTTTAGAAGGAGGGTACCTGAGAAACCTCCACCTGGTGTGTCAAATCCTGCCTCTCAAGAGAAGCTGCTTGACATATCCAAAAAGTATCGGAGTATTCGTCCCAAGCCAGTACTGGTAGTGGAAACCACAATTCCACAACTTGTTCCACTCCCTTCTTTGTCAACATCGGAGAACCTTGATCAGGAGCTCGTATTAGGACAGCAGATATCAGGAAAACAATCGAGTGCTCCACAGTCTTCGCAAGCTACTGATCAGCAGCCTGTGGTAGAATGTAAAGGTGGTGGAGGAGTGATTTACACAGGAAGTCGTCTGCTGCATCGATGTCCTACCTGCAACAGGTGTTTCCAGTTCAAGCATCACTTGCAGAGCCACATGAACAGCCACAGTAACCTGCGGCCTTACGTCTGCCCGGTATGCAGGAAGGCCTACGCTCACTCAGGCAGTCTTAGCACTCATATGAAGCTGCACCATGCAGAAAGCAGGCCCCGGAAGAGCCTTTGCTGTGAATTCTGTGAGAAGTCATTTGGCTATGTGGGTGTCTACTTCAGCCACTTGAGAGAGGTGCACCGGGTAATACTTACTGTTGAACCGTCCATCAGTCAACACGAAGAAAACATGTCTGTAGGAGAGTAAGTAATAATAAACTTTGAGCGTTGACTCTTGCTAAAGCCTCCTTGTTCTTGACATAGACGTTCCTTGTCTTGCAGGTCTTCGGAAGCTGATGAACAGGCCTCAGAACAACGTGTTGACCCAGTCGAGCTACAAATTAAGTGTGGGCGCTGCCAGGCCATCACCCCTACCTTTGCTGACATGAAGCTGCATTTGTTGTACGTGCATGGAGAGGAGGTCCAGGTGCGATTGAGGGATGGGGCCATGCGCGGGGGCCGTGAAGCAGAGGATGAACTGGTCAAACATGCAGCACATTACTGGAGGCAGCTCAATGAGAAACGCAACCTAGTGCACTGCGGCACCTGCGACGAGGAGTTCTTCTCCTTTTCCAAGTTCAAACGCCACCTCCATTCTCACCATCAAGAAGCTAGAGAGAGTCAAGAAGAGGAGGACGAAGAGGAGATGATCGGTAAGGAGGGCCATGTATTAAGGGGCCTCAGTAAAGGTATATCCCTGAGGGTGGGGTCTCACTTTAACTGCATCCTTTGCAGTAAGGTGTTTAATAAGAAACAGGATGTTATTGAGCATTGGAGGGCACAGCACAACTGTGAAAATCCCACCCTTCTATGGGATGTCCTGGACTTCAAAGGGGAGAGCAAGCTTATTGATGGGCCAAATTAACTGCAAATGGGTAATTTATTATTTGCTCCATGTGTCGACTGTGTGGTTTATGCAGGATGCAGTGACGTTAATGCAAAAAAAATCCACTAATAGACTTTTTATGCTGTTGTTTTGTTTTGCACAGTTTTTTAACATCACAAATGTTGTTTTGTAATGCTTGAATTTTGTAATGTTTTATGTTTGGTCTTTTTCTGCAACTTGCATAAAAGCAGAAGAAAATAATCTATAAAATTCACAAACCATAAATTCAGCCGTAAACATAACCATGGCCCAGGTGCAGATGTAATATTACTGCCAGCAAATAGAAAAACCTAAGGATGATAATGATAATTTTTAAGGTTTGTGGACACAGTGTGTTAGTAACTGCTTCATTTCAGTGAAGGCTCATCAAAAACACATTGCCACTCAGACAAATTGAAAATTTGCTATAGTCTGAATACAAATGGGGAATGATTAGCATGCTTGAAATAACATGTCAAAGAACATTCAAAGTAACACAAATTATCAGTGACATTCCACAAACACATATACATAATCACACAGTTTCAGTCCTCATTCCACAGCTAAAATAAATACTGCCAAAAAAAAACCTCTGCTGACTTTTCAGTCTAAGACAAGCAGGTCCACTAGTAAGGATTTAAAATATCATTAAGAAAATAATAAACTCAGTGTGTCCAATATTTAACTGTTAAATTTAGTATGAATGTGTGTATGTGTGTTTCATGAAATATTCTGTGTTGTATTTTCGGATGGAAATGTTATGTATTTAAAATATTTTTTTTTCATGGTGAAATGTGGTGATTTATTTATATTATCAGTCTATTCAAACATATTTCTGTTCATTAAAAAAAATGTCAGGGTAAAGGAATGTTAAAAAACCCTCCTAATTGTTATATATGTATACTTGTATAGATAGATTACAAATATATCTAAAAAATACTATATACAGCTGTATATTGAGAATATATATTTACACAAAGACTCCCCCTGCTGTTTTGTTCTAAAAAATTAACAATGAAATATATTTACCTGTTACAGTGTCTTAAATGTTAAACCTGGAGCTTCAGCTACATTACCAGTCAAAGGTTTGAGCACACTTGACAGAATTTTTGGCTGATGATTAAGCTATGCTTAAAAACATTAAAATGCAAAAAAAAAAAAAAAAAGGGATGATGGGGCCGAATAGTAAAGAAAGCAGCCAACAAGTGCCCAGCACACATGGCATCTCCTTCAGTACTATTCAAAAAAAACTTCCCAGGTGGATTCTTCATTACTTTGTTGAGAGATTGCCCAGAGTGTGCGGAGCTGGAATCTAGGCTGCTTAAAGGCTGAAATACACTACATGATTTTTCCCCATTTTGCTGTCTGGAAGATTCTATTTTAGTTTCCAAAAGTTGCAACCAGTTTGCCGATTTTGGGTGGTCAAAGTTGAGAAAATCACGGTGTATAATGGGTGCATTTTTTTTAGCTTCAGACAATTATTCATTGTTTGATATTTTTAGCCAATTTTCAAAGTCTGGTAGTGTGTAATCCTTTGTTTAAGTGTTTTAGTCGACCAGTGTATGAATCTGTTCAGTCTTGTAGCGTATTCCAGCCTTAAAATAAAATATATTTTCTTTATTTTTTTCATAGTTGACTTTACTATTCTGAAAATATAGACATTAGTAATGATAAAGAATAAGTGTGTTCAAACCTTTGACTGGTGTTCGTTCAGTAAACAGTCATCTACTTTAACTGGTGCTGTGTAAAGCGAACTGATAAAGTTCACTAACGTTGCATTCTTGACACAAAACGAACAGCAAATCCCAAAGCACCAATTCATTTATCTTTTAAAGTTGAATTCATATTTTAGATAACCTAAAGTCAGTCATGTTGATCTTAACAGTCAATAAACAGATAAATGCTGCTTGTCTTGTTGAAATTACCCCGTAAGTGTCTTCTTTGTAGAACTTGTCTTTGGTGGATTGCTTCTGACTTTAGCCCGATTTACCTTAAAAAGAGAATGACAAGAAATTATTTTGTTTAAAATGTGGTCTTATTATATTTAAAGTGATTGATTGTTTAATGATGGACATTTGAAAACATTTGAATCGGTTTCACTTAACAAGCCAGTAATGACACAAGTGTCCTGGTAGCATTTGCAATTCTGAAGATTTCCCCGCCACTGTGATAGATAGCATTGTCCCTGCATTATTGATTATTGGTGCCTAAATTAAAAAGAAATAACTAACGACAGTAGTGTGTTTATTGTATGCAACAACCTCCTGGCTGTCTGACTTTGATTTCTCCCGTCATCACTCTAATGAGCACAAGCAAACACATAAGCTGCTGCTTCTTAAGGCTTATCTTATTCCATATTACAAAGACATTTACCGCAAGACTTCATTTGTAGGTTGCACAGAACAGTGAGCCATGTAAGGCAAGAATTAAATCAATTTCAGCTGGACACATGATGGATTCATATTTATACAACAACCGATATTCACTGAAGGAGTGCTAATGCTTTTATAATGTCTGCTTGAATGTCTTACATCCTTAAATTATTACTATGTGTCATCATTATATTGTAATATTAATACACACTTTTAAAACAACTATTAGAAAGCACAGTTTCCCATCCCAGTGTGATCATTTTGGTCACAAATGCAACATCCAGTATTTTATATTGCTTATAATTGTGAGTTACAGTCTTTCGATCAAATTTTATATTGTATTCCTCAGTGCTTCCCAAGCAGCTCTGGCTCTGATTTATAACCTGCATTAAATGATCATAACTTCTCTGTCCCAATGGCACAGTCACTTCAGATGCAGGTAGTGAAGGAACGTCAACACCGATGCATATTCCTCTTTAATCTGTGTGGCACTCTTTCTCACTTCCACTCTTTCTCTTCACACCAGAAACATGATCACTCACAGGAGATCAAAGCCCATCCTTCTAACAGGATTAGAGGATGGAGCTTTAGAAGGAGGAGAGAGTCTGTTTTAAAGTAAATGAAGGATGTAGGGCTGTAGAAAAGATAGGCAGAAAGGAGGTTGCAGGAGAGAGAAAGGAAGTAGGAGGAGATTGCAGAGACACGATGCTGGGGGAAATAAAACATGTAAGAAGAGACCGTAAAAGAAATGGGGAGAATTGACAGTGAAAACCGCATGTGCGTTCCATCCATTTCATTTGCAGAGATGACCACGATGAGGATGAATTCTTCATGAACTATGATGAATGGATACTGATAAAAGAATGATAGAAAAAGTTCTCCCATCCAAAAAAAAGAAGCAGCCGAGATATGGCGAGCATGTAGACATTTTAATGCAGCATTAACCTGCATGGAGACTAATGGAAGCAAGACACTATCGATCCGTCCCGGTTTGCTCGGAGGAGGAGAAATAGAGAGATGATGCTGAGCTGAAGATGAATGAATGAAGTGAAGGGTGTGTCTGAAGTAGATAACCATCACCTGCATTTACAGACACAGGCCTGTCTGGAACCCACAGTGTGATGTGAGCTGAATGATCACATTCACTGGAATGAGAAGCTTGGCAACATTGAAAGCTTTATGAGAGAAAGGAAACATATCAGAGCATCTTACCTCTCATAACCTGTAATATGATCTTTTTATTTGATGTTGTAGATGATTTAAAAATGTAGAATGAGACTTGCATTGATCCATCAGAATTGTTTGAAATGTAAAAAGCAAACAATGTTACATCTAAACATTCTAAAAACAAGATCAAGTAAGCTTTTGTAAAGAAATTAAATTTATTCATCAAGCATGCGTTAAACGGACTGTAGACATAATGTTACAAAAGTTTTCTCTCTCAGATAAATACTGTTTCTTTAACTTTCTATTATGGTGGCCCAGTAGTGCACTACACAAACAAAATTTCCACAACACAACACATAGGACTAATTTGTGTTTTTTAGTTATTTTATGCCTTTTATTGAGATAGGACAGTAGAGAGACGACAGGAAAGCACTGGGAAGAGAGGGGGGAGCGGGATCGGTAAAGGACCTCGAGATGGGAATCGAACTTGGGTCGCCTTGAGTGCAGTTGCAGTGTATGTTGATGCACTAACCACAAGGTTATTGGCACCGACAACTCATTTTGTTTTGTTGTGCAAATTTTGTGTTGCGGCTTGTTTCCGTTGTGTTGTGCTAACTTTGTTGTATTGCGGCTTGTTTGCGTTGTGTTGTGCTAACTTCGTTGTGTTGCGGCTTGTTTCCATTGTGTTGTGGTGTGTTTCCGTTGTGTTGCAGCTTGTTTCTGTTGTGTTGTGGCTTGTTTCCGTTGTGTTGTGCTAACTTTGTTGTGTTGCGGCTTGTTTCCATTGTGTTGTGGTGTGTTTCCGTTGTGTTGCAGCTTGTTTCTGTTGTGTTGTGGCTTGTTTCCGTTGTGTTGTGCTAACTTTGTTGTGTTGCGGCTTGTTTCCATTGTGTTGTGGTGTGTTTCCGTTGTGTTGCAGCTTGTTTCTGTTGTGTTGTGGCTTGTTTCCGTTGTGTTGTGCTAACTTTGTTGTGTTGCGGCTTGTTTCCATTGTGTTGTGGTGTGTTTCCGTTGTGTTGCAGCTTGTTTCTGTTGTGTTGTGGCTTGTTTCCGTTGTGTTGTGCTAACTTTGTTGTGTTGTGGCTTGTATCCGTTGTGTTGCGGCTTGTTTCCGTTGTGTTGTGCTAAATTAATTGTGTTGTTGCATGTTTCTGTTGAGTTGCGGCTTGTTTTCATTGTGTTGTGGAGATTTTGTTATGTTGTGCACTACTGGGTCACCGTATTCTATTCATCAAAGAGTCCTGAACAAAAATGTATCACACAAAAATATTAAGCAGCACAATTGTATTTAACATTGATAATAAGCAATATTTATTGAGCATTAAATTAGAATATTTGAATGATTTATGAAGGGTCATGTGACACTGAAGACTGAAGTAATGGCTGCTGAAAATTCAGCTTTGCCATCACAGGAATAAATAATTATGATGTTATTTCTTTTTAAAACAAACTTTTGAACAGTAGTGTAGTTAGATACAGTATATGCATAAAACAATTTGCCAGTTGGGTAAGAAAATAAACTTAATTCAAGATCATCTGAAAA